AAGGCCGGAGCAGGCGGTTCCACAAACCCTTTGTCTATGTGTGCCTCAGCAATTCCTTTGCAAAAGGGGGCGCGACCTTGCAGGATACCCCAGCGCCGAGGTCGTCTGAGGCATCGGTCGCAACCAGCAAGTTTGCGGGCCGGGCTCGCAGGTCACTATGCAACAGGGGAGCCAAGACCACAAGCAGCAAGAGCTCTTGACGGAGCGCAGGGGAAGGTCGCAGGACTTCGGTTCGATGTCTTCCCCGCTGCGCCACATAGACTTCACTAAGCAAGCAGAGCAGGCGCCGGCGGAAAGAAAGGGCTGCGACCCAAGAACCAGCGAGCGTCTCCAAAAGAGACACGCTCAGAACAGGAAGACGCAATGCAGACAAAGTGAGATGGACCAGAGGCACAAGTCTGTTCCAGTTTGGCCGCACCCATCCAGTGTCCATCGATCTGCGCCCCCCAGACCTCGGCCTGCGATTCTAAAAGAAAACCTTTTGCTGGATGCCTCGGCAGGTGTGCTGCTGCGTAGCTCTCTTGGATGCTCGAAACAAGCCGTTTGCTGCCTGCTCCCCTTTCCCTTTGCCCGACCGAACGAAGACTCTTTTCAAGGACGAGGAGATCGTCGATCACAATTCCGAGTGACAGGCGGTCCCGAGGAGGACGCCCACGATGAGTCAGGAAGCTGCTGATCTCGATCTGCCCAGTGGATAAAACGAGGCCGACGTGAGCTGCTTGCCCGAAGCTGACAGCATTCAAGTCCCCCATAGCTAATGTGTAGAGGCAAGCTGCAATCTTGCCTCTCCCCAGCAGCTCCGGCTTGAAAGACGCGAAATGCGATAGCTCCTGCGGAGTGTAAGTCCCGACGAGCACGTATTGTTTCGCCCTCTCCTCACTGATTCTAAAATTATAGTAGTACTCATTTAATATCTTCCCCTGAAGCTAAAAGTTCTTCTTCAGGCTCCAGAACAATGTCAACCAAACAAGTGTGAGAAGCTAACGTGGCTAACCAATCAGCATGGAGCGGCATTCGGCTGTTGCCCGGCCGGGCATCAAGGATAAGCCGGTCACGCTCGAGACTTTTGGGGATGGCGAACAGGCCGGCTGCAAATTGCTCCTCGGTCGCCAGCAGGGACGAGCAGTAGCACACCTTGGCGATCAAGGGCCGCCAGAAGGTCAAGGCGAGCCCGCTTGTCTCTCGTCCGGACTTTTACCTTGGGCGGGGGTTCGAGCAAGTCTTCGTCTGGGATCAGAAAGCCTGAAGGGCGCTGGTATAACTCTCGGAGCTCGTCATCTAGAAAAGGGCTAGGGTCGAAGGCAGGAGGAGGCGGGAACCCTAAGCGCTGAACCTCGACATCCTTTGCCAGAGCCATGTTCGGAGCTCGAGCCCCCTGAGCCCCAGCTTCAAGGTTGCGCGCAAACTGGCACTCCAAAGTCCTCATCTGCTCTTCGACCTTTTCGACCTTGCCGGCTGATCGGCCCATTGGCTCCGCATCAACTTGGGAGCTCCTGTTCCAAGCTTGCATCCAGCGAGCCAGCCTGGTCCAGCCCCGCGCGATCGCTTCCCCAGACCTGCCTCTGCCCGTTGCGGAGAACGGAGATGCTAAGGGCCCTTTTGCAAGGCGGCGCATAGGTTTCGCAGCGAGCACATCGAAGGCCCATGCGACCCACTCCATACCTTCACAATCCTCCGGCTGCGAGCCGGGCACTTCTGCACAAAACTCCTCCCAACTCTGTGCAAAGGAGAAGCCAAAGTCTCGATGGACTTGGGAAGAAAAGAATGCACGCGAACAGCTATGCAAAAGATGGCGGTCCGCCTCGGTCAAGTCCTTCAAAAGACTCCAGATCTGCGAGGCCCGCACTGTGCTGGCGCCTGCACCGGGCAGGGCTGAGAAAGGAGAAAATGCCATCGGGACTGAAGGCCTGGACATGGGGCCCGAAGGCCTGCAAAAGAAGCAAAGCTCGCCAGGAACTCGCTCGTGATGTTTATGCACAAGGTCCGCGGGGAGCGAACCTACCTCGGGCGGAACCGGGCTGCAGGACTGGCCTCGGAGAAAGCTGAACGGTCGACTTATCTCAAGACCCAATCCACAGGCGGGGCCCTCGGCAGAAGCAGCCTCTAAACTATTGGCGCTAGAAACTTGAAAAACTCCTGCGTAACCACTAGACCTAGGGGACCCAGACCCGGCAGCTGTCAGCAGGGAAACACACGGATTAGGGCAGAACAGAGAGCGGTCTCTGAGCGCCGAGAGGAGATTAGGGCACGACAGAGGACGGCCTCTGAAAGCAGAGAAGGAGAAGAGACAGGACGGAGGTCGGCCTCCGAACGCAGCGAAGAGCAGTAGCAAAAGACTAACCTTTGCCAACATGCGAAGAAGAAGCAAGGCCAAAAAGAGGGGCGAAGACCAGACCACCGATGGCGGATGGCCGTGCACAGAGGCCTGCAGGCACCTGGAGAAGAGGGGCGAGGGCTGCGCTTGGACCAGGCGCGCCACGCACAGCGGCCCGGAGGCACCTGGAAGAAAACGAGGACAAGCAGAGGGCCGTCAAAGCCCACACAGCCAAGAGGAGAAGGGTTCCCCCTCCCGGCCTAACAGAACGGAAGCCTCACTGTCCTTGACCCCCGGAGGAGCCTGCCTTTCCGCCTTTCCCAGCTCTTTCCTCGGAACCTTTGCTGTCTTTGTTGCTGCGCCTCCCGCCTTTTGGGGCTTCAGGGTCGCCTACAGGGAGAGCCGGAGCATCGCTGGCGCGTCCCTCGCCAAGCTTTTCTTTGCCTCGTAGTAGCCCTCAAGCTCTCTCACTCGGTACAGCAAAAGGTCGGCGACTCGAAGGTCCAGTCCAGAAGCTTGGAGCGGAAGCTCTCCCAGCGGAGGCGGGGGCTCGAGCAAGGCCTCCTGGGCTATGAGCCAGGACCCTTGATCTAAGGCCTGTTGATCGATGGCAGTGACTGCTTGCGCTGCACGCGCTTAGGACTCGGAAAGCCGCCGCCTTCGAGCGGCTTCCAGAGGTGCCCGAGCTCGAGAAGCCGTCTCCGAGATGCGAACTGTCAGCCCCATCGAGCACAGCTTCCCAAGTCTTCTCAGGCTTCTTGCGCTGCACGGCCAGCTCCTTGACGATGGCGGTCAGGGTCAAAACTGCTGTGTCGACTGCGGAATGGTGGGGATCAGTGAGTTCGGGGCCCCCATCAAGCTCCTCGTCACCGGCTTCCGCTCCTAGGCTAGCTGGGCCCTCAAGGTCGCCAACTCCGCCCGGCGGGAAGTCTGAAAGACCTGCTCCCAAAAGCCCCTGCACCTCAGCGAGCTCATTCGCATCGATGCCCGCAGCGACAGCTGCACGCACAACCGAAGGGTCCAATCCTGACAGACCGGCGGCACTCCCACGAGGCTTAGGCGTGCCGGGCACTGAGCCTTCGGGCTTCTCGGCATGCTCGGGCTTTCGGGCCGCCTTGGCTTTTGAGGCTCTCTTTGCTTGAGCTGGCAACAAGGCGGGCCGCTCCATCAAGCGCTGGATGGTTGAAGAGAGGTCTTGCACGCTCTGCTCGAGTTTTCTCAGCCTCTCCTCCCCAGCTTCAGAAGCAGGGCTCCAGAAAGCAAAATGCTCATTGGCCACACGCACCAAAGCTTCGGCGTAGGGCAAAGCAGTCTCCCCTCGCGGGGTCATGAAAAAGACGTCCGGGTCAGTCTCCCGGTCGAATGCCACAGTGTCAGCGATCGCTTTTGCCAGGAGCCCCACCCAGACTTTCAGGGAGTGAGCTCCTGCCTGATCTCTGGCCTCAAGCGAAGCGGCTGCTGTCACCTCAACTTGCAAAGCCTTCGTGAAAGGGCCAGCCGGAACCAAGCGCTTTGCGGCCTTCTTGTCCCAGCAACCACAACACGGTCTTCGAACTCGGTGATCAGAATGATCTGGAGGCTCCGACGCGTCGGTCCATCCCCCACATCCAAAACTCCGACCTCATAGTCAAACTGGGTCCTCCGGCCTGCAGTGACAAAAGACAGGCCTTGAGGACGTTGGGCCTCCTGAGAGGCCTCCGACTCACTGGCTGACATTTCGGCGGCGGACTGGCAATGGCAGGCCTGCCGCCTCACACGCTAGCTTCGCTTCCCAAGCCGCAGGAAAGCCACAGTAGATGGAGTCACCACAGTCTGAACCAGGCAGGCGAGGCCTCGAGATGACAATGCTCAACGGAAGATTGGGCCGGCTGAGTAGACCGAGCAGGGAGTGAAGGGATGCTTGGAGGGACCACCCCAGAATCTACACCCGAAACCACCTCGAACCCACCTTGCTGCTCCTCAAGCAGCCGCAGCACGCGCCTCAGGTCCTGACCTTGCCTGTGCACCTCCAGGGACAAGGCCTGCAAGCTCAAACCAAACTGGCGGAGCAGGCTAGCAGTGTCGTCCATGCACGGACGACTCACAAAACGCGATGCAGCGGCTGCCTGAAGGGCACGCACGTGCTCGCGAACGAGAGCCACCCACCAGAGCCGAACCAAATACACCAAATCTACCAGAGGCCCCAGAAGCAACCCCAGCCCTACCCCCAGCAAGACACTTTCCGGATCCGGAGTCCAACCCTCTTTGATCAAAGGACAGGTGGGGCAAGGGTCAAAAGGAAACTGAGGCTGGTAAGTGCCAGCGATCTCACCCAACAAGTGCCAAGCCACCGAGGCCAGTGACCCTCCTAGCAAGGACACTTGAAGCTGCCTGGCCATCTACGGGCCCTAAGCCAAATTTCTGGAGTCCGCCCATCAGAGCATGCTAAAGACAGTAAAAGAGGATGCTCTCCTGCATCACTATCATAGTCAGGCCTGGCTTGGTCAGATCAGGTCACAGAAGATGTACGAACAGTACTGCAACGAAGGAAGCGTCTTTACGACTGCTCCTGCTCATGCCATGTGGCCCAAGAAACCCGATTTAAGCCTGAACCCCTCAGCCTTCCTTGAAACCCCTGGAAAAGCCTCGAGGCCCAAAACGCTGAAGGCCCCAAAACTGCCCCCATCCCCTAAACCCTGGAACGGGCCTGGCCAGGCCCGCAGAGCGGCCCCGGCGCAGCGCGAAAACCGCGGTTGCCGCAGCCTCGTGGAGACTCGGAAAGCCGAGGCCTCAGCATGGGGCGATTTCAGGATCGGTGACAATCAGCGTTTGGGATGAAGCTTCCAAGGTTTGGGATCTCAGCGTCCCTTTGGAATGGAGCCACATCAGACACATTAGACAGCATACACCAACCCCCACATTCATGTGTGAACCCTGGGCCCGAGATGATGTCCGGCTTCTGAGCCGCAGGCCTTTCCAAAGCGCCTCCTCCAAGACATCAACCTGGGTTGAGAACAAAGGCTTCTGGCTTTGCTTGCTCAGGGCTACCAAAGCAGTGGAACAGGACTCAAGCCGTGTGAAAATACCTTTGCTGCGTGCCACTTGGGTTCAAGCCCCTGGGCCCACGAGCAGCGCTCAATGGTTTCCAGAATATTCTTGCAAACCGATACCCCAAAACACAGTGTCCTGAAGAACATGCGAGTAACGGCCTTGAGCAACTTTGGCTCAAGTGCGGACGGGGCCTGCAGGAAACAGCAAGGTTCGCTTGCCCAGTTCTGGGCATGTGTGGTCTGGCGGAAAGTTTTAGAAGCCCTGGGTGCAAACTCAAAACAAGCCGATGGTCTCACTGTTCTTGGGGCCTGGAAGGTCTACGTCCGCAGCCAAGGTTTTTTGGCACGCCTGCGCTCCACTGTACACCCTTGCACCTGTAGCTTTGAACCGAAACAACACCCCACAACTTACACGTGCACCCCAATCGTTAACCCGAACGACCTACAAATGCCAAGGTGGCTCAAGAGCACGCAGTATGAACTTGCTTTGTCGGGCGCCGCCTAATGGCTAAGAACGAATTTCGGACGAGCGTGACGGAACCACGTTACGTCTCTGAAAGATGCCGGGCCCCAATAGCTGAGGTTTTCTGAACAGCGATCCGAGATGTACCTGGAGAGCCCACTTGCGCCTCGCCAGACGCGTCGGCGCAGCGCAGCGCTGCCAAGGCCTGGTGGTGGGATTTGAGGCACTCAGAGGGGCTCAGAAGTCTCAAAAGGGATCATCAGAGTGTCAGGGTTCGCTGTACCTTGCTTCTGCTTGCCCCGTCAGACACGAATTCGGAAACAGAAACGTCACAGATTCGAAAAGCGGAAAAGGGCGATTCGAAAACCTGGAAGGGAAACTAAAACATGGTGACGGCGCCTGTAAGAGGCCGTGTGACTGAACACATTCAGTGTTTACATTTTTCGCGTCGAGGGCTGAAAACCCAAGTAAAACACACATTTTCGTGATCACCGCAGCATTTGCAGGGCTCGGAAACACTGAAGGGTTAGGTCATTTTTTCGGAAAATGCATTTTCGCTCGAAGCCTGATCGTTTTTTTTTGTTGTTTTTTTCCAGGGGGTCCTTTTTTTTTGAAGTTTTGGAGGCGTTTTTTGCTCGAATTTGCGCTCTCGCCTAGGCGCGGGCACGTTTTGCTCATTCCCCATGTTGAACTTTCAAATGGCGATTTTCGGTTCGGGAAGTTTTTTCTGCGTTATGGCTCCGGCAGTTCAGGTTCGAAATAGTGCTCTCGCCACAGCGCAGGCATGACTTTCTGGAATTGTGCTTTGGTTGTAACCCAACAGACTTGTGCACTGGATCCTGATAGTGGCCTCAAGTTGATTCTTCTTCAGGGTTCAAGGTTCAAAGTTTAGGGTTCAGGTTTCAGGATTTGGGTTTGCACTGCTTGGACTGTTCTTTTGGGTTTAAGGATCGTTTGTTTGTTGTGTTTTTTTCTAGGGGGTGTCGGTTTGAAGTTTCGGACACATTTTTCGCTTGAAATTGCGCTCTCGCCGAGGCGCGGGCGCGTTTTGCTTATAAACCCCGAATTAAACAGCAAGGGTTTGGGCCTGTGGGGATTAGGGGTTCAGGCTTTGGAGTTGCAGGTGTGAAGTCCCAAGTCACGTGATTACCCCCCCCCACCCCCCCCCCCCCACCCCCCCCCCCCCCCCCCCCCCCCCCCCCCCCCCCCCCCCACCCCCACCCCCCCCCCCCAACCCCACCCCGAGCCCCAGAAATTGTGGTTACTCGCACGGCCTCTTAGAGGCGCCGTCTCCTAAAACATGGCTACGAGAAATGGCAAACACGTTTTCGCAAAACCAGACACCGCAACTGAGCTCGGTGATTCGGGAACTGGGAACAAGGCAGATCCGGCAACCGCGAAGTCGCTCAAGCGGGAACAAAATCCGAAACAAAAGGGCGGACTCGGAAACCGAATCAAAAGACTGGAAGCCGAGCCATTGTGGCAGAGGCGAGGGCAAACCCAGCCGCAGGTGTGGGTGTCGGGAAAATCACCGACACACCGCAAACCGATGACTCAAAGCTTTAGCGGTGCTGACTCAGGTTCAATGCAAAAGGCAGCCAAATATGTGCAGACAAAATACTTCAAGTGTCACATTGTAGTAACCATTGTTTTGCCCCCACCATCCGGAGCCTCAAGAACCCATTGCGGCGAAGGCGCAGCCAGGAACTCCGCGTGCACCTGCGCCGCAAAGCGGTCCAGGGCCTGGAGCTCGCAAGGGGAACCTGGGCTCGGGAGGCGAATCGGGTAAAGGTTCTCAGGAAAGGCCTATTTCAGTGCAAGGGATTGCAATGGGAGTGCAAGGTGGGATCTTTGTGGCCCCGCCACAGTCCAGGGCATCGAGACGGCCGAGCGTGGCCTGGGAGCAGGCCCCGGGCTTTGCAGCTTCGGAGTTTCGGATGTTGGCTTTGGGGCATTTTGATCATTTTGGGGCCTTGAGGCTCAGACGCTTGCGGGTCCAGGATTTCAGCATGGCAGGGCTTGAGGTTCGGCTTCATGTTTGTGCAGTGTGTGAAACTCTGCCTGCTGAACACATAGGCCACACGCGGCATTAGACTCCAATGGGCTTTTCATGAACACGATGTCCCACAACACAAGCTCGAAACCATCAAGCGACTGGTGTCCCGGGATGAACTGAGCACACGAAAAACTCCATTGCTGAATATTGCTGCTCTGGAAGAAAAACTTCATGCACACATGTCATTGTGACTGTCTTCGCCTGCATCGGATGCTTTCAAAGCTGGCCATCACAGCGTTCACTTCAGAACACACCAATCTTTCGCCTCTTACTGAAGGTTGCTGTGAATGGGACGCATCAATGCGACACACACACACACACAAAAACAATGTTTGCGGAGCTCATTGCTCCAACGAGAACAGACATGACTCACTGGCAGGGGCGCTCCTCTGTCTCTTGTTGCTTGCTGAAATGCAGTGGGCTTTAGCGCATTGAAAAGCAGCAGACTGCTGGCCTGCCAGCTCATGGCAGATGATTCAGACTTGTGATCTGATTCAACATACGCCGAGTTCTGGACCTGCTCAAGACTTGACAATCCTCCGAACACCCGAGCGAAGTCCGCCGAACCCCCTTCGAAAGCCCTGCAGTGAATCACAAAACAGGACAAACAATGCAAGCCCAAGCGACAGCGAGCCCACCATCAGCCCAAAGCTCAAAGAACTCCGCAGCGCGGTGGTCCTTGGGTACGGAGTTTATGTGGTTTCCCTTTGGTTTTGGCGCTTTCTACTGCGGCTGGTTTGGCAGATACAGTAACTCTTTTCATGCGCATCGGACGGTCGTTCATCTACAATACCAGTGACTTTGTTAAACACGTGGTATTTATCGCACCCTGGAAAGCCTAGAAAGCAAAAAAAAAGCGGGGAACCGCTCAACACGAACAACGGAATGCACGACGTGCCTACGAAGATTTGAACAACTTCCTGTGGCATGCACGGAAACTGCAGAGAGCTTCCAACATGTATCTACTACAGTGAATAAACCCGTGTGGTGCCCTCAACAGCAGCACCAAAGAGTGTGTGGCGGCGAGGATGTTTCAGCACCTGAGAGGCCCAGATATAGATGGGAGGCCCTGCAGGCTATCCGGCATGCTCCTAAGATGCCGTCATGTTCTGCAATTAAATATATAAGGACTGGATTTCGAAGGCTTGAATGACTTCTAGCGTGGACCTTCTTCCTTAGTGCTATGCCGCGCAAGGCCTTGTATGCTGACGTCTCCACCCTCCTACGACAACTCCTTCCGAACGCCAGGTGAGGAGCTCGACACCTCGAAGCAGACCTTGTCACTGTTGGGGTGTCGACGATGCTTGGACGACCCTGAGCATTCCTCCAGAGCTTCTCCATTGCTCCGAAGTACTGTGCACACTCCTTCCAGCCGTCACGCCATGACTCTCCCAGGTGTCGACGTGATGCTGCATCTACACATGAAATCTTCTTTGAAAGAGCAGCGCATTGCGTGTCAGACTCAGCAAGCCAGAACCCACTGCAGAACACACCCCCCCAAACTCAGCAAACCCGCCTCAGGGAACCCGCCCCGCAAAACCTGCCCGGAAAAAGCCTGCCCACGGGAACCTGCCCTAGGTAACCTGCCCCAGGCAATGATGCAGGGAACCTGCCCTGGAACCCGCGGAATCTAAACTGAAGTTGGGGTCTTGGGTTTCACTCATGCACGGGCTTGGGCATTCAAGGCGGTAGCGTTTCAATTTCGGAATCTGCTTTGGTCGGGATTCAGGATCTGATCAACCTGCGCAAACCCCTGCAAACGATTTCTGACGAGCGTCGATCTGCCCAGCGCAAGCTGCTGAGGTTTCGATGAAGTGGGCATCTCCGTGACCAACCGCCTGAGCACAACTTGGTGTATGGGCTGGTACGTGTGTCAACACTCAAGAAGAAAACCTCAAGCTGCGTTGCTTGCGGTGCAAGCTTCTATGAACCCCATGATTAGGCCACGAATCCATCTCTGTCTCTCTCTGCCTCTTATGCATTCTCATGCACAAACTACCACAGCTGAGTTCGTGAACCGAATCTGTTCAATCCCCTCATACCCGTGCCATTCGTTACAACCCCACCTGGTCTTCCGTGGAGATTTGCAAGTCCCGATGCAGGAAGCGAAGCGCGGACTGCACGTCCTCTGAGTTGGGAAGTCAGGAGCTGGTGAGAACGCTGAAGGCTTACAGGGGTTTGTAATTTTAGGATGGAGTTGGGCATGGCCCGTTTTCATACAGGATTGCCAGCCAGAATTCCTGGAGCTACCAGGAGCGATCAAAGTCTTCATAGTGTGGCGCCCCGTTCTTTCCGAAGTTTTCTTTTGCAGAAGGTTGCCTGCCCTTGCCTTCACAGTCAACATTCCTGTCCTCAGGACCAAACAAGAGAGCTCCGAGGCTTGCTTTGCACAGGCAAAAAACACTGCCATTGACGGCTTCCCCGCTTTCTTCTACAACATGCAAACCTTCACCAACAATCATGCTACCGAAAAACCCAACAACAAAACACGCATTTGGTGATGTCGCATAGCAGAAGCAGTAGCAGCAGCAGTAGCAGCAGCAGTAGCAGTAGCAGCAGCAGCAGCAGGAGCAGCAGCGGCAGCGGCGGCGGCGGCAGTAGCAGTAGCAGTAGCAGTAGCAGTAGCAGTAGCAGTAGCAGTAGCAGTAGCAGTAGCAGTAGCAGTAGCAGTAGCAGTAGCAGTAGCAGTAGCAGCAGCAGCAGCAGTAGCAGTAGCAGTAGCAGTAGCAGCAGCAGTAGCAGTAGCAGTAGCAGTAGTAGCAGCAGCAGTAGCAGTAGCAGCAGTCGCAGTAACAGTGTTGGCATCGACGGTCTTGACGCAGGTTTCTGAGATGTTCTCAGACTCCACTCTTAGCCTACATGGTAAGGGAACTGAAGGAGCGCATATGAACCGCAAGGCAGGGTGATCGTGCAACTTGGAACGGACTGGTGAAAGCTCGGACCGAAGGAAGCTGAGGAAACGTGGTGCGCCCGAACATGCTCGGCGACATGGGAGACTACGTATGTTGCAGGCTTTTGGTCTTGCAGAATCCAAATCCGGACTTCGGTTCCTCGGCCTGACATACACGAAAGAAACAAAGAAAGCAAGGAACCGCGGCTCGCCCATTGAAGCGTGCTCCTCCCGAAACAAAGACTAGCAAAACCACCACGCGCACCGACCGGGGCCAGCAGACATGAAACCACAACAAAGCATGCCACCCTCGCGCAAGTGTTCTTCAGCGCTGCTCTTGCCCCACAGCTCCCCCTCCAACAACCCGATCGCACACGTCATGGCCTCCATCGTAACTTCCAACCAACACGGGCAAGCCAACCCGGAGGAGCTGAAGATGCATGCGACGGACACTACAATCACTACTGTAAGAATGACAAGAAACCAAGAAACCCGTGTGCAACATGTGTGCCAGTACAGGCATCTCGGATGCTCGGGATCTGGCATGGAAGCTTGCCCAGGCCCCACAATCAAGTTCGACTTCTGCGCGTACCATACGGCAGCATACTCTACAAGCCCCAAATGGCCCCATCCCATTCTGGTCCCACATCCGAACTCAAAAAGGAAAATGCCCCTGCACAGCGACCCGACAGAACCAACTCCAGCCGTGTCAACACCGAACCGCCTCTCAGCTGACGAACCCGAAGCCAACAACCGAACCCTGTGGCTTCAGGCTAAAAAAAGCCCCTTTTCAGCAAGAGCCTTCTTGGAGACGCCTTCTTGCAGAATGCTCGATTCACCCAAAAACTTCCGAGAGGGAGGGAGCCTGGGAGCCCGGCCTGGTCCCGAGCGACGGCCCAGCCGCAGCGAGGGCAACGAGGCACACGCGAGTGCACAGGCCTCTTGCGCTTGAGCTTCTGTTTTTTGCGCGAGCTAGTATGTGTGAGAAATGCTCAGAGAAGAGAAGAGAACTTCTTCGATGCGAAAGCTTGATATTTCTCAAGAGGCTGTCGGGGGCATGGTTGGTCTATGCTGCTACACTGGCCTGGGACTGCTGGATTGCATGAAGGTGCAAGGCCTTGAGCGCTTTAAGTTCTTCGCCTAAAAGTTAGGATTCGGATATCGTGTTTTGGTGTGTCAGGGAGGGAGGGAGAGAGGGAGAGAGAGAGAGAGACAGAGAGAGAGCGAGAGAGAGATAGACCTTGAAGGTCCAAAACTGCAAAACACCTGACCCCAAATTAGACCCCTGCACCAGGGTCAGCCACGCATTCGGAAACTGGAAACGCGCTGATTCGGAAACTGGAAAAACCTGATTCAGGAAACTGGAAAACGCGGATTCGGAAACTGAAAACGCGGATTCGGGAACCAGGATTCGGGAAACCGGCTGATTCAGGAAACTGGAAAACGCGGATTCGGAAACGTCTGATTCGAGAAACTGGAACGCGCGAATTCTGGAAACTGGAAACCGCTGATTCGAAAACTGGCAAACACGGATTCGGAAACCGGTGATTTTGGAAACCGTGCAGTTTCCTGAGTCGCGCAGTTTCCTGAATCGGGCAGTTTGCTGAATCCTGGTTTCGTGAACCCTGGTTTCCTGAATCGCGCCCAGTTTCTGAATCGCACATCGTCCCTGCACCAGAAAACATCCGCCCGACTACCGGGGGGCCAGAGTGTAGCTGACCAAGGGGGAATAGCGGGGCCACGTTGCACATCAGGATCTTTAGAAGCTTGGGGCTGGGGGCGTTCCCGGGCTGAAGAAGTCCGGAGTATGGACCGGTGCTGCACTTAGATTGATGAAGGTTGCGGTGTTGAATGTCGTGCTGACCCGGGTCGAAGTTGCCCAACCTTAAGCTTCAGAACATGCCCTGCCGCACTTGGACGAACTTGAACGCACAGTTCCTCCTCATGACCTCCCCTTGTCTTGTGGCTTCGCCGGGCTGCCCCGTTCTTTGGATCCGTTTGGGCCCCACATGTCGCTAAAACGGCTAAAACCCCACTCCCCACCTTGAAACATCTGAAGGCCAAAACCCTGACCACCAAATTTCAAAGCTCCACAAGGCTGTGTAAGTTGTGTATAGACTCAGGTGCTGATCATTCGGGCTTGGGCCGCTTTGGGACTACAGAAGAAATTTCACGTTTGTCATAAACGGCCCCATCCCCCGACTCAGAGGGCCCCCATTCAAGTTAGCCCCAAGCCTCCCTAAACCTAAACCCTCGACCCTACCCTCCCCCCCCCCCCAAAAAAAATAACCCTAAATCCTAAACCCTAAGACCCTAAACCCTAAACCCTAAACACACCGACAGGCGGAACAACTGCTGCACCCAAAGACAGGGCGCTCCGCTCCCTCCGAATCGTTGGCGCCATCATCCCAAGCCGGAGCCCGGAAGTGCCGGCAGATGAGGCTCCTAGGGTTTAGGGTTTAGGGTTTAGGCGTTGGGGTTTAGGGTCTAAGGTTTAGGGTTTAAGGTTTAGGGTTTAAGGTTTAGGGTTTAGGGTTGTACCAACAACAAATTCCGCTGTGTACGCTAAGTTCCTTCTCGGGCCAGCCCCACGGCAACAGAACTGTGCCTGTATGATGTGACCTTGACCGGGGGAACCCATCAAAAGCACTTTTTTAACAACTGAACGCAGCCCTTTTGGAAATGACCTTTCTGGCCATCAAAACTTTCCAGCCATCAAAATCATAGTCTTCCCTCTATTTCCGGCCGTCAAGAAACCTTTTTACCCCTCTGAAAATTTCCCTTTCATCCCAGGGGAATCCTCATATATGTTCAACAATCATTCTATCTATCACGTATACTTTCCTTGAAGATGCAGATCAAAACGCCCGCTTATTCGGGATGGTAAGAGTCCTGGTAGTCGAAATATAGAAAATATTCCCCCAACAATGTGCCAACCACAGGAGTTCTTACGTTCAGAGTAAACGCGTCTTAGATTGACATGCACGCGCGGCGCGATACGTGTGCGGCATATGCACGATATGAAATATGCTAGAACGAAGGGGGGTTTAGCTCGCTAAACCCTATTCTTTGGGATTTAGGCCCTAAACCCTATTCCTAAACTCTATTCTTTAGGATTTAGGCCCTAAACCCTATTGCTAAACCCTATTCTTTAGGATTTAGGCCCTAAACCGTATTCGCTAGGATTTAGGCCCTAAACCCTACTCCTAAACCCTATTCTTCAGGATTTAGGCCCTAAACCCTATTCGCTAAACCATATTCTTTAGGATTTAGGCCCTAAATCCTATTCGTTTAGGATTTAGCGGGTCCGGGAATAGGATTTAGCGAATGTTGCAGGCATCTTCGCAAAAGGCTTGTGACAGCACGTCTTGTTCCGAAAACGTCGAACAGCCCTTTGTGGCACGTTGTATCCAAGGCTGTGAAGATGGTTGAGGCCAAAGCGCAACGGAGGCAGGGCTTCCAGGCCTACGCCTCAAGTCTCCCACGCGTAGAACAAACTTAAGCTCTAAACTGCACGTCTGAAGTCGCGTTGTCCGTGCGAATGTCGGCGAGGGCCGCAAGGTGCTGGGAGGTTTGCTGCTGCAGCACCTGTGCAAATCACGGCATCAACTCTGCAGCATTGGACGATGTCGGGCTGCGTTCAAGCTTCAGGCTTGCCGGCTTTCCCGCATGATACCTAAATCCCTAAGTTCTGTGCGCCTGACCCTCCCGCAAACCCACTTGCGCTGCCTGCCACGCCCCACTTGCCGGCCACAGACTCGGCAGACCCCTGCCAAGGTCATCGAAGCGCACCCAGAAATTAAGACGAAGTTTGCGGTTAAGGCTTATAGGTCTTATAGGGACTTTGCTGCACTGCATAGCCTCCTCAAGTGACGCCTACTCGCAGGTAGCGGCATGTGTTACGCCTGTTACGCATGGCTTGAATCGGCCTGAGAAGCACTCACATTTTCGCAGTTCCACCTTCTATTGCAATGCCTTTTATTGCATCAAGATTCACAACCGAAATCATTACAAGCAACAATACAACACTTGAGGAACTGAAGTGTGCCACCTCATCAGTACTTGCCAGGACCCCTAACAGCATGCACACAAACGATCCCAACCTGCCGGCCCAGCCGCATTCTACGCATTCAACCAGGTGCGCTTGTTTTCTGAGGAGGGGACCTACTGGGACCCAAACCCAAAGCCTTCAACAATGGCGCCTGACACCACACTTTGACAGCTCGTGGGACGCGTGCCTCAGCTGCACATGCCTCAACATATAAGGCCGGTGGGGAACGGACACATCGAAACTGAGTGCCTCCAGGCATCTTTTTCGCTGGAGGACACCAGTCAAAACCGACATATTTTCGCTAAGCGATAGGTGGGCAAGTGACTGGCACCTCAGGCCCCTAAGCAAAGCAAGCCTTCAACCCCTCCCGAAGAGGTTCACCCTCAACTCTGTGCAGGGCCACCACAGCGCCGAGCGTTCGGCTCCAGACTCCTTGCCGGTGAAAAGGCTGAAACTGCTCTCCAGCTGTGCTCCAAGCGCATCCCTGTTCAGTTCGACATCCTGGCTCCCCCCCCCCCCGTTTACACGATGTCGAACAAGTCAATATGTTCCTGACTCACTATCAGTTTGTTCCCAGTCAGTCGAATCTGCGACATGCGTGAGGCTGGGAATGGCTTTGCCGCTCGTTTTTCCACCTCCTGGGTGAATGGATTGTGTACAATGATCAACGCTCTCCGACAGTTCAGTGCCACAAGGGAATCGGCTTCAAACACCAGCGCGGCCGTGCAGAGCAAATGCAAAGCATGTCCGATTCTCTCCTTGTCCGGGTACACAGGGCTCCCACAAGGCGAAGCTGGCACAGGACCCATACCAGCCATACCAGCTGAAGCGCCCACTTCCGCGCCCTTCCGGCCATGCAGGCATATGCATACATAAGCATACATATGCATACATATGCATACATATGCATACATATGCATACAGAAACACACATATGAATACAAAAAGACAAAGACATACACGTACATGCATGTACCTACACATACATACATATACATACATATGCATGACATGCATACATATACACACAAATACGTACATATGCATACATATGCATCAAAAATGCATACATATGCCTGCGTACGCATACATGCGCATACAGATGCACACACAAACATGCATTCACATACCTTCGACATTCGACATCATTCGACATCCCACTTCCCAAAAAAAGCAGCAAAATGTAAATAAAGGTTGCTGTTGGCTTGGCTTTCTTCAGCATGCCCGAACCAAATTCTAATCCCCCAACCGTGCGAACATTCAAACAATGGAACCTCTCAAACCCAGGGCCTCTGTGGCCCCGCTCAGCAGCACACCCAGCACAGTCGCCAAGTCCTTTTGTGGTCATGAGAGAGACTTGGCAAGCAAGGCCGCCAAGTGTAGGCTGCACATGCAATTTGGGCGCTTGTTTTTGAGGAGGGTTGAGAAGTTGAAACTTCTGGTAGGGTTTGTTGCTAATTATAGCCGATGACACGTTTATCTGCACATGCTCCATGCTGAAACGCTGCACTCAGACGGCATCCCCAAAAAAACGACTCTGAAGTCAAAACCAACATTAGCTTCCTAGTCGCCGGCAACAAAACCTTCACCCAAAACCTCTCAAAACCCCCGAAGAGCCAAATTGCTACTTCTGCCAGTTTCTGCACATCAATTGGTCCACGCAAGGCTTCGCACAGCTTGAACATTCAGAGGGCCCTTGACACACCGTCCCAAAACTTGGCCTGGCCATCTGTTGCTGGAGCATGGCCAGCGCTTCTGAGCGCCTGTACCAGAAGCTTCATGCAAGTTCGGGTGGTTTCGGAACTGGAAGATGAAATTGTGGAACTGCGGAACCCGATGACAGCTTGAGCGCACTGGTACTTCCATGCATGAGCGCCTTGGGCATGTTCAGGACCCGAGAGGATAAACCCAAAACCCTCCACTGTCGGAACTGAATGAACTTTCCATGCGCCACCTTTGATGGATACCATGGTGCCTGACTGACACTTTGATTTCACGCCCAAAGCAAACCGCAAGGATTTGACAACTTCTCAACCCCGGTCGAACCTCCAAAACCTCCAACACCGGTCCCTCTCGAGCTCCAGCGAGCACCAGCAGCGCGGCGTGAAGAACAACGACGGTAAACATCCGAGGCTTTCAGGCCAAGCTTTGGGGTTTTGGGTTGGCGGCTCAGGTGCCAGCCCCAGTCTACTGCCAACATTGAACAGCAGATTGTCAACTTTATGATTTTGCGGCTACGGCATAACCTGTCGGTTGACACTTCAACAAGAACAACACCACTTGGCAAAATAACACAGCGGTTATGCATCGAAGCAAAAGCTGCACGAAAACCGCCACTTTTAGAGGGTGAACGCGCGAGACCACGAGCTTCGACGCATACGACGAAACTGCGGGGATTCCACCAGTTCACAAGAGATTGCCAAAAACCAGGTTGCGGGGCAACAGGGTTCAACGTCTTCAACCCCACATGGCAAGATCAGCAACCAAAACCCCAAGATCAAGGATTAGACACATGAGGGATCATGAGGGGTTATGGTCGTCCAATTATTTTCCTGTTCATTGCTCCTCCTGCTGCTGACGCTATTCTTACTTGATCCTACTCTTGCTCATCCTATTCTTACTATTCCTATTGCTCTGTTGTCCTGCTCCTGTTTTTGCTGCCACTGTTGCTTTGTTGTGGATGTGCGCGCTGTGCAGTCCTTAAGATTTGATTCGAGTCGGCTTAAAGAAGCAGAGACTCAGGTGTCGTTTCTGAACACTAGCGTCCTAAATTTGCAACAAAAAGCCGTTCCAAGATTCATCGAAAAACTAAAAAAAGCAACTGTGTGGACCTATCAAAGCAAAACTGCGAAAAGTTGCGCAGCCACGGCTGAGCAAGACAGAGCTTCCGCCATGTGGGGCATTGTGGGCACAAAAGAGTGTGATTGCTCGTTGTGGCAGTTCTTCTGTGCGCACTGCGATTGGATGATTTCGTTTCATGTTTTTCGGGTGTTAACATCCATGCATGATTATGCAAATGCAAGGTGCCAAAGGGGGCCTGTTTTGGGCCAGATTTGAGTTTTTTTAATGGGTGTTTTTCGGAGACGTTCGAAGGAAAAGCGGATGCTGGCCTGGGTGTGGGTGTGGTGCCTGGTGCTGAATCGCTAGCTGGGCATGCTGCAACATGTCTGCCGGTCTATGGTTCGCAAAGGTGTCTGTTCCATTGCTTGCACGTTCCGACTCAAAAATCTCATCTTAAAACATCTAGCAATGCATAAATCACCTTTATCATACCCACATCTCCTCGTAAATCCTTAGTCTATCAGTGACTCCTCTCACCTCCCTTCACAAAACCTTCATAAAACTTGAGAGCCACGGGCTGGGACGAAGCTCTAGTCGGCCTAGGACTGGGGACACTGATCTTACAGGAACAGAGAGGCGCCGAAAAACACCAAAAAAACCCAAATCTAGCCCAAACAGGCCCCCTTGGCACCACACCCAGGCCAGTATCAGCAGCATTAGGGGGCCCCGCTTCTCCTTCGAACGTGTCAGAAATACCCCCCCAGATTTATGAGGTGTTTGAACGAAGCTCCCACAGAAAGAGCTTTCGTAACCTTTATCGATAAATGAATTTTAATAACTTCTTCGTTTCCTCTACAGCTGCTTCCAGAACCTTCCTCTCTGAAGTCGAGACCTTTTTCTCCAGAAGCAATCCACAGCCAAAGTGAATCATCTCCAATTCCTGCACTTCTGAAGCTGAAAAAACGATCTCGAACAAAAGATAAAGCAGCAAGACCACTTCGGTCGGGCTCCGCCCTCCGTTTTTCATTCCAAACCTCTAGACAAGTTCTTTTCATGTGCGATTTTTTCGACGGATCGCTCCACTTTTTATTTTGGTCAATTTCTGCAAAATTTCGCGTCACCAACTGCTCGTGCTGCAGTAGCCACCACCACTACACAAAGCTTAACAACGCAACACTGCCACAAAACACTTCGACGACCTGAATACGTGCAGCTTTGCAAATTTGCGCACGCTCAAGGTCCAGGTTACTTGCGAACATACACCTTCTTAAAGGTCTTTGTCGCCATCAGTGCAAACGAAACACAACCACACATCAACTTAAACTCACGCAAACTTCCATTTTTAAGGGTTGTCAGAGGTTGAAAAGAGAAGCTAAAGACAATTGAAGCATTAAAAGCGATTGAGAAAGAGTCTGAGCGAGAACCGCTAGGATCCAGAACCAGCGAAACCGTCATGCACCAAAATGCGGGTTAGTGTGAAGCGTGCAACGCAACAAGAGGAAAAGAAAGAAACTTTGATGTATCGAAGAAGAAGCACGACAGATCGCGAATCTTGATGGAGTTCAAGTACTGGAACAAAAGATGAAGAAAATGTACAAGGTGAAAGACGCACATTGAAGAAGAGTACGGTCCACCTTCCAACTTTCATCCGACACACCCTCCGGACCGTCGAGGGAGGCGTTTGGGTTGAATGAGTTCACGGCAAAAAAAATTTTGCTTTTTGGAACTTTAGCTTCGGGCGTTGCTGACTTGAAGTTTACCAACTAGATAGCGCAGAGCGTGGAATCACCAAGACAAAAGAGATTTTCCGACCGTGGAGTTTTAGTGTACTACGACTTGGCATGGGTGAATGCAGAGCTTGCGGGTCGGATGGTTTCCATTGTTTGTAGTCGTGTCTTCTGCGCCAAACTGACCTAGAGGACTGCGCTGGACGTCGTAAAAAATGTGTCAGTTTGGATGCTGGATTTGTGAGATTTCTTCAGGTTACTGCAGTGAACACTGGAGAGCAACTTTTGAGCAGCTTTGCAGTTCTCAAATGTGATTTGGGAAGCGATTACCTTCCACCCCATAGAATATAAGCGTAGATGTTGCAGAATTGGTGCACAATCTTCCAAGACGCACCTGTGGCAGCTTAAATATACGGAGAGCTGGAGTAGTAGTGGTAGTAGTAGTAGTAGTAGTGGCAGTAGTTGTAGTAGTAGTAGTAGTAGTAGTAGTAGTAGTAGTAGTAGTAGTAGTAGTAGTAGTAGGAGTAGTAGTAGTAGTAGTAGTAGTAGTAGTAGTAGTGGAAGTAGTAGTAGTGGAAGTAGTAGTAGTAGTAGTAATAATAGTAGCAGCAGCAGTAGCAGTAGCAGTAGCAGTAGCAGTAGCAGTTGTTGCAGTAGGAGTAGTAGTAGTAGTAGTAATAGCAGTAGTAGTAGTAGTAGTAGTAGTAGTAGTAGTAGTAGTAGTAGTAGTAGTAGTAGTAGGAGTAGTAGTAGTAGAAGTAGTAGTAGTAATAGTAGTAGTAGTAGTAGCAGAAGTAGTAGTAGCAGTAGTAGCAGTAATAGTAGGAGTAGTAGGAGTAGTAGTAGTATAAGTAGCAGTAGCAGTAGCAGTAGCAGTAGTAGTAGTAGTAGTAGTAGTAGTAGTAGTAGTCGTCGTAGTAGTAGTAGTAGTAGTAGTAGTAGTAGTAGTAGTAGTAGTATAGAGTAGTAGAGTAGTAGAGTAGTAGTAGTAGTAGTAGTAGTAGTAGTAGTAGTAGTAGTAGTAGTAGTAGTAGTAGTAGTAGTAGTAGTAGTAGTAGTAGTAGTAGTAGTAGTTGTTGTTGTAGTAGTAGTAGTAGTTGTTGTTGTCGTAGTCGTAGAAGTCGTAGTGGTAGTGGTAGTGGTAGTGGTAGTGGTAGTGGAAGTGGAAGTGGAAGTCGTAGTAGTAGTAGTAGTAGTAGTAGTAGTAGTAGTAGTAGTAGTAGTAGTAGTAGTAAGTAGTAGTAGTAGTAGTAGTAGTAGTAGTAGTAGTAGTAGTAGTAGTAGTAGTAGTAGTAGTAGTAGTAGTAGTA